TCCAGAGTGGAAGCTCTCCAAAAACTGTCTACTGTCATTGGAGAGGCAGCCGTAGCAACAATGCTACGAACGCTGTCGCCGACAGAGCAACACGGTGTTGCTCTGGGGTTATTGTGAAGGAGCAGCGAGTTGCTGCTGCTGCTACGGCGCCGTCCGGGACGAAACCGCGCGTGCGGTCATTGAAACTGCACGTGAGCAGTTATTTGGGAAAAGGGGGAGAGCCTCTTCTCCGATGGCCTGTCGAGGTTGACACTGACATCACGGCTCGTCGCATTGTCGACGAACCGTCGAAGGTCGCGTTCGCCATGTCATGTCTTGGAAGACGAGCGAGGAGCTGGGCGTATGGTCGCCGGCTCACAGATCATACGTGCTTTAACACGTATGTGGTGTTTAAGGAGGAGCTCAGACAAGCGTTTGGGCCCCATCAGAATAATTTCCGGTCGAGAGCGGAGTTTCTCGACCTGCAGCGAATAGTGAAAGCAATATAAGAACGAGCATTTCTTGCTGTCCAAATATCACTCGTAAACGAGTAGTACTTGCAGTCTTCAGCAATAGTTTCCTTTACTTTTCGTCGCATATCTTCAGCCAGCGAAACGATATCACTACGAAGTTGAGTTCTCATGGGAAGCGTAGCTTTATTCCACAAATGTCCTCCGTCACAAACTTGATAAACGTAACGAATCCGTCATCTTCAACCATGAGAAGAGGACGAAAATGGGCTGCTATCCACTTTGCAATTAGCACGTTCACTTTCTGCTGCTGCTCAACCGTAATCTCGCAAAGGCCGGGCTTCTTATTACCATCCACAACTTGACTCGCGTTGGTGTCGCTGCTGGACCAAGTTGGACCCTCGGTGTCGTCGCTGTTCAGTCTTCGAAATTCGTCAAGTGCGTCATTGTGGTACTTCGACATGTGCTTCTCCACGTCGTTGTTGCTAGTGCGGAATAGGATTGCACGCCAACATCGTGTACAATACGCATACGCAGCCCACTTGTTTGTTCTTGGCCCTCCTTCTTCAATCTGCTTCCAATGCTTTTTTATACAAGCATAATAAACTGTCAGTACTCGGGCTTGCGAACCATACTCATTTTTAAAAGCCCATAGGGCTGTAATTCCATTTCTGCGCCATAAGTGGGCGGCTGGTAACGC